AATATGAAATATTCTGCTGAAGGGAGGCATGCATATCTAATCGACGTAACTGACCGACGATAACCACATATACAGAGGGTACGTGAAAGCTGTTTCACAGCAAGTCATACATCGAAATGAGTTGAATTGATTGAGCCGCAACCGAACCCATAATTGAAAGAATCAAACGCCTAATGCCACTCGCGGTTTTAAAGATCCTCAATCGTCAATTTGTTATTTAACTCCCAAATAATGATGGAAATGAAACAGTTATCACGCGATTTCCTGAGCTGAAATATAAACTACGTCAGTTGACCTTGCGGGTCTTCTTGGTCGATCGCACTTCGTTCGCCTTAGGACCTCTCACAGGAGCTTATTGAGGACGTGTCCGCGCCTTCCTAAATCACACAGTGGTAAATTCAAGTAAGCAGTGGTTTGCGTGATAAATTGAAAAATATAAACAAAACATATTCCGTCTTTGTTTTTGCATCCTTAGATACAATTGTTGTAACAAATTATGTTTGACCATTGAAGCGTACCGCGCAGCCGGAAAAACGTAAGACGTATTTACTTGCATGCTTAAATCACCGTTACATGTACATCTCTTAACAGCTGGAGAGGAACACGTAAACCGTTGGGCTTTAGTTCACTATGGCAGATGGAGATATGAGTGATGCAGATTCCCACACAAATTCTAGAATAAATCTTGGCGAATATCGAAGTCTTATTACGCGATTTCGACGTAGCCCGATGGTTCAACAGAAGAGACCTCACTCGGGAGGACGACTTCAACTTCACGATGAATCCGTTCGCATGGGGATGAAAATGGTGCCCTTGCAAGATCGTAACGTCGCGTTTCATCGCGCTGTTGCTCATGGAAATTCGGAATACGTGAGAAAGATTTTGTCCGAGAAGAAGTACGATGTGGATGCCTTCGATGAATATGGATTCACAGCGCTCCATTACGCCGCCCAGCACAATAAAGTATTTATCCTCAACATGCTCCTGGATTTTGGCGCTGAAGCCTCTGTGACAAGTGCGGATGGCTCGACTGCCCTACATCTTGCCGCGAGGTGAGACACGTACGCAGTGAACTTTAAACTAAACAAAACTTTTTTTTTTACCAAGGTCTGCCATATCAAGCCTTCTTCGCGAGAGTGGCCACTAATTGGACTTTTGTGCCTTTCGCTCTAATTTATGTTTGATTACGAGTGAAGGTGAACATAAATCACTTAGTCTTAGAATCAGTGAGATCTCGTGAGGTTAGATTTTTATAACCCTGATCCTTCACACGCACCAGAAGACACATATTTGGGACTAGAGTTGACATCTTGTAAAACTGCAACTGAGCTAATATAGTACGTCTTTCTGTTACTTTCTACCAACTCCAGGACATTTTATGCAAGCAAAATCATTCAGAAGCCTTTAATTCTTGTCACCTCCTCGGATAAATGAGGTTTTCTTTTTTTGCTTCCTAGCTAATGAAAGAATTATTTATTCTTTAGTGTTTGATCTCAAATACGATTTGACTCGTCGTCATAAAATCTCAACAGCTGCAGACCATAACCACAAGCGCTTTAATTGTTAACACTTCGAGGAAAAACAATAATCAAAAAAATAAAAATTGTTTCGATATCGATCGCCGTTCTTTTAATGCAATGTAGAGTAGATTTTACTTATCCTACATCCAGAACTTTGAATAATGATTCCGTGTTGTTTATGAATAAATTAGACGAAAGAATCCAGCTGGGGTCACGGAAAGCTAATCTTGACGAGAGCGCCTCAATATATCTGATTGCTCTGAATTTTTAAAACTTTTTATCAATTGATTTAAAATGTTGAATCATCAAAAGCCGAAACAGAGTTTGAGTTGACATAATTTTCAAACAGAAATAACGAAGTATTGAAGAGCCACTAGTCTTTTTGTAAAATATTGAACCAGGAATAATGAACTCTGGAACAGAGGAATGCAGTAGTGTTCTCCAAGAGTCGACGAGGCG